GAATGTTTACCATTCTCAGTAGTTTTCGTTCCCACTTGGTACCGACTAATATATTTGTCAATACTCTGTTGCCTCTGCATAACAGCTTCGATAGCGTTAAAGGCAATGCGTGTCACCTATTTCTGTATCGTACACCTAAACCAAGTAGCTGCAGTAACCCGTCAGTGAAATCGTTAGTCGTCAGTAGTAGTTAGTGGTTGTAAGTCTTCGTTTATTAATATGGTTATTTGGAACCACTATTTTTAGCTCCACCTATTGAATTTTGTTATTCGTTTTGCCCATCGTTTCAAGACCTGTTGAAAACACCGCGAGATATCGTTTCACCTCCCCAATCATTGCCGTAAAAATAACAGGCGAATATAGTATAAATCTCGACAAGTGATGTGTACAGGTAAACGTGGGTTATTGAAATTAGAAAAAAGACCAACTTCACAGCAAATGAACCGATTACGTCGGTGACTTTTGATGTAATCCGGTTCATAATGCCTCACTGACTGCCAAAAATCGCGGCAACATCTTTTTTCCTTCGGTCTTGATGCGATTGAATTTGCCAACCTTATTGTACATACCATCATTTGCAATACCGTGTTGTATAAAGACGGTCATTGTGTTATTGATGAATCCTGTTCTTACACTGAGTTTATTTAGTTAGGTAGTGAATACCCCCACTGTTCTCCGGGTCAGTACCACACATCCTACTGGAAACTGATGTAGTTCATCGCCTCCATTTCCAGGTTGCTGGTTTGCATTACAGATCAGCATGTCAACATCACTGAGGATAATCCCTTCCACCGTTCACTGCCTAGTTGTGTACTGATAACCATGCACTGCTGGGTTAACAGGCAACTGGCAGACCTGATCACGATGGACCCTCAAGCCTCCAGGTCTAATATCAATTGATGGTGGATTGCGCGCCGGGAAGTGTCTCAGAGGCACTAAACAGATTAGGTGTCTTTTTGAATTGCCTCCACTCCCTCAGGTTCTTTCAATATAAGATTACTACTGAATTCAAAGCTAAATGCTAACGTCCCAACGAATCACCGACACCAGGTCTGCGCTTTGTTGTTCTGGTCGCGTGGCTCAGGACGAAGGGTTTCGGTTCCCGGAGGGGATACAGATAGTATGATGAGTTCCAACAAGAACGACACACGTTCACTGCTCTTTGTCGGTTATCATATTATGGAACTTTCTCGTTTTTATGAAGATTAATGTACAATGATTTGTTTAGTACACGTTCTGGATTCAGACGTGTGTGAAATACATACACATCGCACAATTCCATTGCATTTAAATACTATAGCTAGATAGTTGGGAGTTATAGACGCTGCTGCGTGCGTTATACCACGACGATATATCATTGACGCTCATCAACCTTGCGTGCCTTTCAAGAAGACGGGTTTCCTTACGTTTAGGATCTCTGACAGAGGGTAGTGTTTTATTACACATGAAGTGAATTACAACAAGAGAAGTAAATCGTATTGTCAAAGATGTGCTGTGAAGATGTTTCAGCTTGTTTCAGTTTGTGCAATCATGCTCTTTTTTGCGCCGTTTTTCTGAGATTTACTTTCAATCCGGTTAGGAAGAAAAAAAGAACGCCGTTAAAATTTCGAGCGAAACCAAATGAAGTTTCCTGTGGTCATCAAATACAGTGGTGCTCAAACGGTAGAAGGTCACCAACTTATCGTGCGTTCGAATCCCGCCATCACCGCCCGACTTTCCCCATTAGTCTGTGTCTTATGGCAGCTCCTTCCCTCCTTCCCGAAAAGTGTATCGTGCATTATTTAATAAAAGGAAGTAAAATAAAGATAAACGACAAGCAGAAAGGCGAGACGAAAGACAATATTTCAACCTTGGAACAACGAGGGAAAAATCCACATTGCTGCTTTCGAGGGACACTCTTCGTTTACAGAGAATGATTTCGAAAATGCAGATTTCGAAATTTCAGAGACGAAGGTAAAGACCAATAGTTATTGGAATCGGCCTAGTCGCCACATTGCGAGATCGACTGTGGTGGACACATCTGGTTGTTATATGGAGTTAAAATGGGTGACTGGGTATGTGGATTGAGAGCTGAAAAATAGAGCCGATAGATAGTAGGCTTTGCGAACGATGGAATGCTAGTTTTTCAAACGTACAGCGTAGTTGCAAGCATGTTTAAACCAATAAAGGGATTGTGGTTTGTCGGGATTGGAAAGATGTGGAACTAAGATACGTACTCTGAAGAACAGTTTCAGTGAAGTTTGAAACAGAAGGAAAAGTATTAGACTCGAGTTAACGGTCAGTTCAGGGATAGCAGACCAAAAAGTCCCAGTTGGCTGAGTCACACACAAAAGGGTGCGTCCAGAGTTTCGTTTTGGAACGGAGTCAGCAACCAAAACTGCCGCCGGACAGTGCATGTTTGGTGGTTGTATAAACTGAACCTGAACTAAAAAAAAAATAAGGCAATAGTCAGACGCGCTAGGGCAAGAGAGTTAAGGAGTATATATGTTTAGTGAGGAGAGAATAGATGTAAGAATGAGTTCCGGGGTGAGCAGTCCATCCCTTATCTAATC